AAGCCAAAGTCCCCTCTCGATTCCTTCAACGAACGAGAGGTCCACAAATCGGGCGGTCAAACTTTCACGTAGTTGTGATCGTTCCAAATTTCCCACTTGGTCAAACCTTACGACAGTTAGGACCAAAGCCAAAGTCCCCTCTCGATTCCTTCAACGAACGAGAGGTCCACAAATCGGGCGGTCAAACTTTCACGTAGTTGTGATCGTTCCAAATTTCCCACTTGGTCAAACCTTACGACAGTTAGGACCAAAGCCAAAGTCCCCTCTCGATTCCTTCAACGAACGAGAGGTCCACAAATCGGGCGGTCAAACTTTCACGTAGTTGTGATCGTTCCAAATTTCCCACTTGGTCAAACCTTACGACAGTTAGGACCAAAGCCAAAGTCCCCTCTCGATTCCTTCAACGAACGAGAGGTCCACAAATCGGGCGGTCAAACTTTCACGTAGTTGTGATCGTTCCAAATTTCCCACTTGGTCAAACCTTACGACAGTTAGGACCAAAGCCAAAGTCCCCTCTCGATTCCTTCAACGAACGAGAGGTCCACAAATCGGGCGGTCAAACTTTCACGTAGTTGTGATCGTTCCAAATTTCCCACTTGGTCAAACCTTACGACAGTTAGGACCAAAGCCAAAGTCCCCTCTCGATTCCTTCAATGAACGAGAGGTCCACTTTCAAACTCCCGAATGACCAAACCTTACGACAGTTAGGGTCATCTCGAACCCTCGCTTAGTCACAACTTACCCTGGTCGAGACTAAGACCGAGTCATCTTTTGTTCAAATGACCAAACCTTACGACAGTTAGGGTCGTTTGAACTTTCCGATTCTCGGAGTGGAGATCCCACTTCTAGTTTCATCCTGCGGATTCTGGAGGTGGAGATCCCACCTCGAGTTTCCCTCTTTTGCTGGAGATAGAATATAAAATTCTTCCTCTCCAGTTCTGAAGATAGAATATAAAATTCTTCCTCTTCAGAGTCAAATGACCAAACCTTACGACAGTTAGGGTCGTTTGAGCCTTTCGGATTCTGGGGGTGTGCCACCTCGAGTTTCCTTTCCAGCTGAAGATAGAATATAAAATTCTTCCTCTTTAGCACCGGGAGATAGAATATAAAATTCTTCCTCTCCTCGGACCTTTCCGATGCTCGGAGTGGCGACCCCACTCCCAGTTCATCATTCCGGGTGCTCGGAGTGGAGATCCCATTCCCAGTTCATCCTTCCAGATACTGGGGGTGGAGAATCCCACCTCGAGTTTCTTTTCCAGCTGAAGATAGAATATAAAATTCTTCCTCTTTAGCACCGGGAGATAGAATATAAAATTCTTCCTCTCCTCGGACCTTTCCGATGCTCGGAGTGGCGACCCCACTCCCAGTTCATCATTCCGGGTGCTCGGAGTGGAGATCCCATTCCCAGTTCATCCTTCCAGATACTGGGGGTGGGGAATCCCCCTTCTAGTTTCCTTTCCACCGGGAGATAGAATATAAAATTCTTCCTCTCCTCGGACCTTTCCGATGCTCGGAGTGGAGATCCCACTCCCAGTTCATCCTTCCGGATACTGGGGGTGGGGAATCCCACCTCTAGTTTCCTTTCCACCGGGAGATAGAATATAAAATTCTTCCTCTCCTCGGACCTTTCCGATGCTCGGAGTGGCGACCCCACTCCCAGTTCATCATTCCGGGTGCTCGGAGTGGAGATCCCATTCCCAGTTCATCCTTCCAGATACTGGGGGTGGGGAATCCCACCTCAAGTTTCCTTTCCAGCGGGAGATAGAATATAAAATTCTTCCTCTCCTATTTTGACACAACTTTCAACTTCCAATCCGCGCACTTGGTGCGTGGGGAATTTTATCCCGAATCCTAAGTAGGGATAAGTCAACACCTAACACGTGTTGCCGGGTAGCCTATTCCCGTAACAAGGGCAAAGTCTACGTATTCGAAGTCGTAGCAGCAAGTCTAAGGGAGTTCATTCCTTTAGCACAACGTTACATACGGAACGGATTTCGATAATCCGCATGCTAGCCCGATTCAAACGGTGATCGGTAAAGGCACATCAAACCCGTTGAAGGCTGGGGGTTTGCCAAAAACCCCAAAGTCAACGCCTAACACGCGTTGCCGGGTAGTCTATTCCCGTGAGAAAGACGAAGCCTATGTATTCAAGATCATAGCACAAAGCCTCAGAGAGTTTACTCTCTCAGCACAACGTTACATGCGGAACGGATTTCGACAATCCGCATGCTAGCCCGATTCAAACGGTAATCGGTAAAGGCACCTCAAACCCGTTGATGGCTGGGGGTTTGCCAAAAATCCCATAAATCTGTCATTCGGAAGAGATACAGAGAAAACACAAAAGAAGCAAATGCGGATTTTCTATTAATAAATCAAGTCAAAAGCATATGACAACAAGTCCGTCAACCCGAAGGCAACCGACGGCTAAGAATATGAGACTCTAAACCGGAGAGCCTGTCCATATAGTCCTGCTCGAACTCCGCCTGCAGGCTAGCTCGGACAGAATCTTCGGAACTGTTGAGAACCTCTGCGGCTTCGTGTCGCAGCTTCATCAACCCCTCCTGCGCTGATCCCAGCCTGTCGAGTGTCCATTCACGAGAACGCTCCAACCCAACCAGTTCCTCAGAAATGGTAGCGGCAGATTCTTCGGCGCGTTCCAAGGCCTCCTTCAGTCTAGCTATCTCTGCACGAGTGGAATCTAAGGAGCTCACTAACTCAGCTCTGCTGGTGTCTTTCCTCGCCAGAGAGGCCATCAGCTGCTCGACAGTGCGCTCACGTGATCGAAGCTCGCTGCCAACGGAAGATCGCAGTTCATGCCACTGCGTCAACCTATCCTCCACCTGAGAAGATGCAAAAGAGGGAGCTCCACCAGCCTTCAACTCCCTCAGCTCTCGAATCTCTGACTCCAGGGCAGCGAAATCAGCTGTAAAGGAATCGGCCAAATCCGGATATCCCTCTTCCCTCATCATCATCATGTGACGGGAGAAGGAACGCCTGAACTGATCAAAAGAAGACCCTCTGTGCAGAAGCTTATCAATCACGCCGTTATAAAAGGCAGTAAAGAAGCCGAGGTCAGTGCGGAAGACATCCCCATCTGGATTGGTATCGGCCAAGAGAGCATGGACCTGCTCATATAGAGACGGTCGAGAACCTGCAAGCAGCAGTATGGGAGGTCAAGAAACTATTAAATACAATCGAAAAGACCCTAAGGGAAATTCGAGGTATACCTATACCGGCGGAAATCCCCTCGGGTTGGGGTTCGACAGGCTCCGAAGTAACGACAGGAATGCTCATGGAAGGTATATCAACCCTCGTGGGCAAGTCAGTCGTATTAGGCGAAGGCGGGAAAACACCCGAAGCTATAGCAGAATCAGGTACAGCGCCTGGTCATATAGTTGCACTTCTTTATTAGTCAAAATGGAGACTGAGACAAGCAAAGAAGAGAGGAAATTGGATATATACCTGTGGATGAATCACTCTCAAAGAGTGGTCTCACAGTCCCGGTGGGAGCTTGTTCAGCTAACATATCGGCTAACAGTCCAGAGTCAGGTCTCGGGAAGACCGGTGCAGGAACATATCCCTGCTCTTCGAAATCTGCAATAGGGGAGGCCCCATCCCCGTCTGGCCCTTCTGTCGCAACACCTGCAGCACCGGATGTAGGTATATCTGAAAATGAACCGGTGGGATCAACACCATCTGCCTGCCCAAGATCGATGTTCAGATCAATGCCCAGGGAGCCATCACGAAGGGCGTCGCACACCTGCTGCATGAAGCAGTCCATGTTGTCAGCCCCAGAGAATACCGGACCTGGCGGAAGCTCACCCTCCTCGAAGAACCCTGAATTATGAAACAGGATCAGGGATCCCGGAAGGTAAATCATCTTAAAGCAATAAAAGTGGGTACAACAAAATGTTACCTTCCTCCCCGTCGGCAAAGCCTCCTGAATCTACCCCATGGGAGCGCTGATCAACATGAGGTTTATGGGCAATCTTTTTCCTTTTCGAAGGATCACCCCTCATAGAACCAACGGGGCGGTCATGCGAAGTTTGGCCACCAAACTTGGATTTCGCACGACGGGAAGCGAGCGACCCATGGTCGTCAGCTACCCCACCTGAAACAACAAGAATCATCTCATGAACCAGATCTTTCGCCAATACCAATTGAAGTCGAGAAAGAGGATCAAAGAGCATGACAAACCTGTATCAAGTTCTGCTTGGTCGGTATCTATATCTGCATACTCCCCTTCGGGAATTCCGGTGGACTTCTTCCTCTGTCTCTGAGCAGGCTCAGCCCTGCGAGCAGCCATCATAGCAGATTGAACCAAGTGATCGGATTCTAGTTCCGAAAGACTCCTCACACTTATGGATTCATCGGCAGAGAGGAACCATTTACAGCTGAGGAAGGTAATCATTGGATTGCGTTTATAGGAGGGAAGAGCAAACTGAGCCCCGGTGCAGCCAACCATGGTCCATAACCACGCCCGTACGCCGTCAACGAGTCCTCCCTCAACACGCAAACTACGACTCGGATTCCCAACGTATAGTTGGTCATAGCCAAACTGACGTGCGAAACGGCAGGGAAGGTAAGGCTCTATGTGGCAGCGGTCCTTCACCCGGAGAACAAGATACCCGACTCGGATGTTCACCAACCAGCGGAAACAACCGACGTCGAGAGCAGTCCGGTTAGTTCGGGGTTTCTCCATATCAGTCAACTCCTCGCCATAACGTCCCGAAAAGCGAGGGAAGCATTTGAAGAACTCCCAGTTCCTGCGAACTCGAAGTTCTTTTTGTACATCTTCAAATTTCTTCCCAACCCATCTACTCTCCTCCAACAGCTGTAGGAAAGGAACGGGAACATCAACGGCGCTGGGCGCCGACATCAAGTCCGGACGGTGAAGAACGAACCACGCCATCAAATAAGCGTAGGGCAGCTCAACCTTCGGGCAGGTAAGCTCAGTCGAGGGTTTAGAACCCACTTGGGTAAGAACACGAACTACACCCCTAAGCCCGCAATGGATGCTAGCAACCATCGCTGGAAGCAGAGAAAGCTCCCTCCCATAAGCTAGCTGGACCGCAGGGAAGAGCACCTCAAGGGGTAGAGCGTCTGAAGACTGATATGGAACAACACACTTCTTCAGCCAAAGAGCAAGGTAGCCAGCTAACAGAGACCGAGGATCGATAGACTTCTGGGCATGATAGAGGAACGATCGAAACTTAGTCCCGGCCGGAAAAGCCCCCTCGGCACTAGCAATGGTATAAGAATGAGTTTCATTCTTCTCCATCAGCTCATTAATAGCGGCAGGGGTCAAAACGCCTAACTCATGTATGGACTCCTCGGAATCATCCTCCAAGTTAGGAAACAGGTAAACAGCAAACTGCTTCAAGCTGATCTTCCTCTTCGTCTTCGCTGGAGGAGAACTCTGGAGCAAACAGGTGTGATAATGACAGGTGAGGTCCCAGAGAGTGTCATACACATCGGGAGTATCCTTCTTCAAACACTCCAACTGTTGGTTAGAAGGGAAGTATTCCTGATACGGGCAATCTCCCATCGAAAGCCCGGAAACCTGGTGCATCTCATGAAGAGCCAACCCTAGCTCTCCGCCACTGGTCAAGAAGGTATTACTATCAGGCATATATGTCTCGAGCAATGCCAAGAAGTGACGGCAGCTAACGGGAAGTCCATACATAGTAGCCCGTATGGGCGTATATAATCCACTACCCTTCAAGTCTCTCTCCCAGCGTCCCAGAACATAACTGGTCAAACGGGTCCACCATCCCTTAGCCAGTGAGGAAGCCCAACCATAACATCGGTAATCCAGTCGAGGTAATTGTCTTCCCAGATGAGCTAAACGATTCCTCACGGTGAGAGCGGCCGCCGATACCTCGCCTGGAGGTGCAGTGTCAAGACCCATGATCCCGGGTCGAAGGCCACAAATGGATTGATACCCCAGAGAACCGGGACTCTTGTGATGAGAAATGTATCCGCACTGAACGTGTGTAACAGCATTGGTAAGAGGCCAGGACATCTGTCGCCCCACAGCCTGTTTCTCCAAGTCAGTAAAAGAGCACTGGCGAGGAATAGAGGGGATATATAAAAGAGCTCCCTCGTCAAGGGTAAGCCAGTGCTCCTCAGCAAGAGTCAGCGCGGCAGGATCTTCGGTGCGATCCCCGAATAGAAAACCCGGCTTCTTTAAAGCTTCAGTAGAAGTGGCGTCTGCGGTGAGAGGAGCATCGGTGATAAGTTGGCGTAAACAGTGACGCCCTCCATCCTTTATCAAGCGACAGAACTCGTCTGAGCGATCTCTGTCGAACTGCGGAAGGGGATCGATGATCTGCCTGGCAGAAGCCGAAGAAAACACTTCCCTACTACAACCGGTAGGGGCATGATGAGGGAGACTACCCCCGGGAAACTCAACTGCAACAAAGCAAAGATGGAGTCAGAAAATCCATGTCATAAACGCAAGACGAGATTATTCGATTTCGAGTGCCCTACACCGGGAGAACGGTATGCGTCATCACGTAGACACCGTGATAACATATACCGACCTATAAGGTGTAAGGCAACACGAGATCGCCCCAATATAACCGAGGACTTGAATTGGCTAAGCAAAGCAAGTCCGAAACCTTAACCCCCGCGGGAGGGGTATCGGTTCTTCCGTCATGACCCGCGAGAGGTCAATCCGGGATAAAAGAAAAAAATATATATAAGATTCTTACCCCCAAAGCAAGAGGTCACTGGAGATGATGTCGTAGGAGCCTCCTCCACGCCATGCTGCGAGCAAGGGTGACTCCCGGAAAGACGAGACCGACGGGGAGACATCGTGAATCTGCAATGAAGAGCAGTACATCAGGTACGATATATATACACGAAATATCGGAAGAAGGGAAATTAAGCACTTGGACTCGAAATCCTAATAACAAATAGGATTTTGTAGTTAAAGTCTAATTAAGCCTACGAATTTCGTGCACGCGAAACGATAATCGTCATTTCGCGGAAAATTTTGGTGAAATACCCAAAATACCCCTCGTGCTCAAGGCCAAATTCAGGTCAAGGACACGTATGACTCGGGTTATGGTCATCATACTTGATCATCGAACATCCCGGTACCCTATAATTTTGATCAAATTTTGCAAATAAGCCCTTTTGCAGAATTTGGTCAATTTTACATAAAAGTCCCTCCATGAACTTTTGGTTTTGCATCCATATGCTTTTACCAAAAATTCGATCAAGGGTCGGGGGTTTAAACTTCTTGGATTTCAGCCCCAAATTCGTGGCTCTTTTGACAATAAGCCCCTCCAAATATTTAGGGACTGTTTTGCAAATAAACCCCTCAAACAGTTCTTTAACCCTCTTACACAAAGCACCCCCATTTCTTGAAGAAACAAACACGAACCCAAGCCTCCCAAATTTCAGTTCATGTTTGCATAAGAGCCCCCAAAATTTCAGACCCACGAATTTTGCAAATAAACCCCTATAGTTTCGGTTTTTGCAATAAAACCCCCCAAATGCTTATTTCATCCATAAACCCTTATCTATTACAAGCATAAAGACATGATCTTTGCAAGAAAATAAGGGGTTTGTGAAGAAAAACTTACCAAGTCAAAGGAGTTTTCCTTCGGGCTCGGAAATGGAGGCCAAGACCCTCGTTTGAAAGAGGAGAAGATTCCGGCAAATGGGTACCCGTCAAAATCCCGAATCTTTTAAGGGATTGAAGGGTTCTCAAGAGCAAATCAATGGAGGAAAGAGGGGGAGGAAGAAGAAAGAAAACCGAAAATGGGGGGAAAGAATTCGGTTTTGGGGGTGGGGTTCTCTCTTGAAATTCAAAATAAAGGAGGGGGGGACCATGCACAAGAGGCCAAAAAAAGGAACAAGACAAAACTAGGGGAGAAACACCCCTAGGGGTGTCTCGGCATTGCCGAGACACCCCCAAGGGTGTCTCGGCATTGCCGAGGCACCCCGGGGTGCTTCGCCCGGGTTTCAACCCCCTACGCGATGTTTTGATCCCCCGAGATATTTTCCGGTACCCGGAATTGTTTTCCATATCCACGATGTTTCCACAAACATTGGTTTTCTCCGCCGACGGTTGAAAAATATGGATGAGTCCCACAAGTCAACCTACGCGGTTCAAAACCCTAAGGTGGACGCCGGTCAACGCGTAACCTTAGGTCAACGCCGGACAACGCGTTGCGTCAAAAATCAACACGTGGCGACGAAAATCAACACGTGATGACAAGAGCCAACCCACGCGGTTCAAAACCCTAAGGTGGACGCCGGTCAACGCGTAACCTTAGGTCAACGCCGGACAACGCGTTGCGTCAAAAGTCAACACGTGGCGACGAAAATCAACACGTGATGACAAGAGCCAACCTACGCGGTTCAAAACCCTAAGGTGGACGCCGGTCAACGCGTAACCTTAGGTCAACGCCGGACAGCGCGTTGCGACAAAAGTCAACACGTGACGACGAAAGTCAACACGTGACGACAAAAGCCAACCTACGCGGTTCAAAACCCTAAGGTGGACGCCGGTCAACGCGTAACCTTAGGTCAACGCCGGACAGCGCGTTGCGACAAAAGTCAACACGTGACGACGAAAGTCAACACGTGACGACAAAAGCCAACCTACGCGGTTCAAAACCCTAAGGTGGACGCCGGTCAACGCGTAACCTTAGGTCAACGCCGGACAGCGCGTTGCGACAAAAGTCAACACGTGACGACGAAAGTCAACACGTGACGACAAAAGCCAACCTACGCGGTTCAAAACCCTAAGGTGGACGCCGGTCAACGCGTAACCTTAGGTCAACGCCGGACAGCGCGTTGCGACAAAAGTCAACACGTGACGACGAAAGTCAACACGTGACGACAAAAGCCAACCTACGCGGTTCAAAACCCTAAGGTGGACGCCGGTCAACGCGTAACCTTAGGTCAACGCCGGACAGCGCGTTGCGACAAAAGTCAACACGTGACGACGAAAGTCAACACGTGACGACAAAAGCCAACCTACGCGGTTCAAAACCCTAAGGTGGACGCCGGTCAACGCGTAACCTTAGGTCAACGCCGGACAGCGCGTTGCGACAAAAGTCAACACGTGACGACGAAAGTCAACACGTGACGACAAAAGCCAACCTACGCGGTTCAAAACCCTAAGGTGGACGCCGGTCAACGCGTAACCTTAGGTCAACGCCGGACAGCGCGTTGCGACAAAAGTCAACACGTGACGACGAAAGTCAACACGTGACGACAAAAGCCAACCTACGCGGTTCAAAACCCTAAGGTGGACGCCGGTCAACGCGTAACCTTAGGTCAACGCCGGACAGCGCGTTGCGACAAAAGTCAACACGTGACGACGAAAGTCAACACGTGACGACAAAAGCCAACCTACGCGGTTCAAAACCCTAAGGTGGACGCCGGTCAACGCGTAACCTTAGGTCAACGCCGGACAGCGCGTTGCGACAAAAGTCAACACGTGACGACGAAAGTCAACACGTGACGACAAAAGCCAACCTACGCGGTTCAAAACCCTAAGGTGGACGCCGGTCAACGCGTAACCTTAGGTCAACGCCGGACAGCGCGTTGCGACAAAAGTCAACACGTGACGACGAAAGTCAACACGTGACGACAAAAGCCAACCTACGCGGTTCAAAACCCTAAGGTGGACGCCGGTCAACGCGTAACCTTAGGTCAACGCCGGACAGCGCGTTGCGACAAAAGTCAACACGTGACGACGAAAGTCAACACGTGACGACAAAAGCCAACCTACGCGGTTCAAAACCCTAAGGTGGACGCCGGTCAACGCGTAACCTTAGGTCAACGCCGGACAGCGCGTTGCGACAAAAGTCAACACGTGACGACGAAAGTCAACACGTGACGACAAAAGCCAACCTACGCGGTTCAAAACCCTAAGGTGGACGCCGGTCAACGCGTAACCTTAGGTCAACGCCGGACAGCGCGTTGCGACAAAAGTCAACACGTGACGACGAAAGTCAACACGTGACGACAAAAGCCAACCTACGCGGTTCAAAACCCTAAGGTGGACGCCGGTCAACGCGTAACCTTAGGTCAACGCCGGACAGCGCGTTGCGACAAAAGTCAACACGTGACGACGAAAGTCAACACGTGACGACAAAAGCCAACCTACGCGGTTCAAAACCCTAAGGTGGACGCCGGTCAACGCGTAACCTTAGGTCAACGCCGGACAGCGCGTTGCGACAAAAGTCAACACGTGACGACGAAAGTCAACACGTGACGACAAAAGCCAACCTACGCGGTTCAAAACCCTAAGGTGGACGCCGGTCAACGCGTAACCTTAGGTCAACGCCGGACAGCGCGTTGCGACAAAAGTCAACACGTGACGACGAAAGTCAACACGTGACGACAAAAGCCAACCTACGCGGTTCAAAACCCTAAGGTGGACGCCGGTCAACGCGTAACCTTAGGTCAACGCCGGACAGCGCGTTGCGACAAAAGTCAACACGTGACGACGAAAGTCAACACGTGACGACAAAAGCCAACCTACGCGGTTCAAAACCCTAAGGTGGACGCCGGTCAACGCGTAACCTTAGGTCAACGCCGGACAGCGCGTTGCGACAAAAGTCAACACGTGACGACGAAAGTCAACACGTGACGACAAAAGCCAACCTACGCGGTTCAAAACCCTAAGGTGGACGCCGGTCAACGCGTAACCTTAGGTCAACGCCGGACAGCGCGTTGCGACAAAAGTCAACACGTGACGACGAAAGTCAACACGTGACGACAAAAGCCAACCTACGCGGTTCAAAACCCTAAGGTGGACGCCGGTCAACGCGTAACCTTAGGTCAACGCCGGACAGCGCGTTGCGACAAAAGTCAACACGTGACGACGAAAGTCAACACGTGACGACAAAAGCCAACCTACGCGGTTCAAAACCCTAAGGTGGACGCCGGTCAACGCGTAACCTTAGGTCAACGCCGGACAGCGCGTTGCGACAAAAGTCAACACGTGACGACGAAAGTCAACACGTGACGACAAAAGCCAACCTACGCGGTTCAAAACCCTAAGGTGGACGCCGGTCAACGCGTAACCTTAGGTCAACGCCGGACAGCGCGTTGCGACAAAAGTCAACACGTGACGACGAAAGTCAACACGTGACGACAAAAGCCAACCTACGCGGTTCAAAACCCTAAGGTGGACGCCGGTCAACGCGTAACCTTAGGTCAACGCCGGACAGCGCGTTGCGACAAAAGTCAACACGTGACGACGAAAGTCAACACGTGACGACAAAAGCCAACCTACGCGGTTCAAAACCCTAAGGTGGACGCCGGTCAACGCGTAACCTTAGGTCAACGCCGGACAGCGCGTTGCGACAAAAGTCAACACGTGACGACGAAAGTCAACACGTGACGACAAAAGCCAACCTACGCGGTTCAAAACCCTAAGGTGGACGCCGGTCAACGCGTAACCTTAGGTCAACGCCGGACAGCGCGTTGCGACAAAAGTCAACACGTGACGACGAAAGTCAACACGTGACGACAAAAGCCAACCTACGCGGTTCAAAACCCTAAGGTGGACGCCGGTCAACGCGTAACCTTAGGTCAACGCCGGACAGCGCGTTGCGACAAAAGTCAACACGTGACGACGAAAGTCAACACGTGACGACAAAAGCCAACCTACGCGGTTCAAAACCCTAAGGTGGACGCCGGTCAACGCGTAACCTTAGGTCAACGCCGGACAGCGCGTTGCGACAAAAGTCAACACGTGACGACGAAAGTCAACACGTGACGACAAAAGCCAACCTACGCGGTTCAAAACCCTAAGGTGGACGCCGGTCAACGCGTAACCTTAGGTCAACGCCGGACAGCGCGTTGCGACAAAAGTCAACACGTGACGACGAAAGTCAACACGTGACGACAAAAGCCAACCTACGCGGTTCAAAACCCTAAGGTGGACGCCGGTCAACGCGTAACCTTAGGTCAACGCCGGACAGCGCGTTGCGACAAAAGTCAACACGTGACGACGAAAGTCAACACGTGACGACAAAAGCCAACCTACGCGGTTCAAAACCCTAAGGTGGACGCCGGTCAACGCGTAACCTTAGGTCAACGCCGGACAGCGCGTTGCGACAAAAGTCAACACGTGACGACGAAAGTCAACACGTGACGACAAAAGCCAACCTACGCGGTTCAAAACCCTAAGGTGGACGCCGGTGTTATATCGCTAGGGCAAGCCAATTGAAAACGGCACTACTCCAAAGAGTACACGAGTATAAACTGTTTCTCAAAACTCCGACGAGTATACGAGTATAAACTGCTCCTCATAACTCCGACGAGTATACGAGTATAAACTGCTTCTCAACACTCCGATAAGTATAAGAGTATAAACTGCTTCTTCAAACTCCGACGAGTATACGAGTATAAACTGCTTCTCAACACTCCGATAAGTATAAGAGTATAAACTGCTTCTCACTCCAAAGAGTATACGAGTATAAACTGTTTCTCATTCCTCCTACCGGTATAAGAGGTTAAACTGCTCCCTGATACTCCAATAGGTATATGAGTCTAAACTATTTCCTACCATTGACGGGAAGTTCCTGGAGGATATTACGCTAATATTCTTAAGGATAACCCGGTCGGACAACCAAGTCAAACCCAGTTCCAAGAGAGAAACTGGGGGTGGATTATCCAATGCATCGGGAAGTTCCCGAAAGAATACCACAGGGGTAT